GAACTAAGTAACTTGTTTAATTTAACCTCTAAAACTCTCAGTGACTTAGACCCTGGATAACAGAAGGATTTTCTTGGCCTGCATGTGCCATCCTGTGTACTCTCTTCATCGCCTGAGGCCTCAACTCCAACAGCCTCTGGTTTATCAAGGACTGTAGACTTTAAGACAACACAGGCCTATTCAGCAATTGTGCCGACACTGTATACTGCCCTGCAAGAGAAGGACTACCAAACTCTACATAGCCTCAGGAAGCTAGCTAAACCCTAGCTTTCCCCCAGGTTTGTGTGGAAAGGACTCTCTTGTGTCTGTAGCACAATGCTTGCTCTCCCCAAACAGTCTGCCAACAGTAGTGCCAGAGTTGAAAAGAACGAAAGGAGAAAGGCAATCAAACTTTGGGTAATTCAAACGCTATACAAAGAGACAGCAACGTGTGCATACGCAAGATACGTGACTCCAGTGAACGAGAGCCGCGCTTACTTCCGGTTGCCCGCCCCGCAAGGCAGCTCAGGATAGCAGGCGAGGCGACCACGCCCATGGCCTGGTCCTTGCGATTGAGTGCGAACCAGGCTCTTTCAGTGTTTCAGTTTCCCTTGTTATCTGTTGCAAGAACCTTCAACTTAAAACCAACGTGTAATAAAAAGACAATCTCCAGCAGCAAAGGGAAAGGAGACACAGCTTGCCAAATACGCTCACAGGACAGATGGAGCACCCCCGTGGAACTGATTTTGCCCACGGGTTACTTCTTAGCTGCCTGAGGTTAAAACGGCCACTGATCAGAGCCACTGATTCACCGAGTCCTGTTTGAAACACACTTTAACCTCCGAAGACTTCAGGGTACAAAGCTCTACTTCACCCCATCTGATCCTCACAGCAAACCTGTGGAGAAGACCAGGCTGAGAGAAAGCAGGCACCCCACACTGCGCAGCAAATTTCACAGACGAATGGGACCCTGAAGTGGGACCTCCTCATTCCGGTCCGACATTTAACTGTTGCACTGCCCTGCCTATAGCTTACATAATCTATACCACCACAAACTGGAATGGGCCAGCCTGCTTCCACGTGCATCCGCGGGGCAGCCAGCGGCCCTGCCCGGGTCACCCAGGCGCATCCCGGGTTCAAGGCAGCGAGAGCCAGAGGCTGGAGCACGAGGCCGGGGATGCCGAGGCCGGCGCGGAGGACTTGCCCAAGAGGCGTGGCCGGGCGGGCCTCACCCGGGCCCGGGGACACGGCCTTCCGCCCGCCCGCCCCTTTAGCTGCCCCGCGGGAAGGGGCCCGCTGGCCCGCGCACCTCGCGGGGGCCCGCCGCACGCGCGCACGCGCTCAGCCCCGGGAGGGGCCGCGAGCGGGGCCCTCCCCGCCGGCCGGCCGGCCGGCCATGCCACTACGGGCGCGGCGCCCCGCGAGGGCGAGGCGCG